TCCCATAATGCTGCAAGCTATTAAAAAATCAAACTATACTTATAAATAATTATTATCATACAAAAAATTTTAATTATTATAAAAAATATATTTATCTTTGTTAAAAAATTTACAATAAATACAAAAAATATTTATTTTTTAATTTTAAATTGAAAATTTATAATTTTTTTTTTTTTCACCTCTCTAAAGCCGAGAAGGCCACTGCAGACTATTTAGTTAAGGTAATAACCCTCTCTCAACTCCAGAACACAAACATCAAAGAACAAGGAAAAAAGTTGAGCCCGGTACTACCAGGGTTTAAGAAGCAAGTGCTCTACCACTACCCCCTGAATGCTCTACCACTACCCCCCAAGTAAGAATCAAAACAATATTTCAAAACTTAATCGAACAATTAAATCTCATTGTTTTGATCTGAACAATCAGGTTGTTCAGAGCAATCAACTGCAAACTTTTTTTTTTCTTGGACTAGCCACAGCCTGTTTGATGATGATGACTATCATGATGAAAATGATGAAGGTGTTTGATGGTGATGACTATCATAATGAAGATGATGATAAAGATTTTAATAACTACTCACAAATAATTTAAATTTTATTTTAATTTTATACAAATTTAAAAAAATGTTAACTGTAAAAGTAAAAAAATGATGAACTTTTTCTAGCATTTTTACTCTTTGTAATAAAGTGCGATAGTTTCTGTTGATGAAACTTTATTTATTAAATACATTAAATGAATGTCAAATAAACACATTCAATGAATGAAAGATACTGGAGCCAAAACTATAAACAAGTATTAGACAATATAATGAATGAATATACAAGTTGGTAATTGATAAAATAATTTGCTTTCACAAGACAATAAATCTGCCAGTTGTATCAATCAAGAATTCATCAAATCATAAAAAATTCATAACTCAAATTTTAAAGAAATATTCTTTCTTCAGTCATTAAATAAATATATAGTGGTCCACCCAAACAAAACAACCATCAAGGATGTAAAGACCATTAATTAATTAAATAATTAATTATTTTTTGTCAGAAGGAGTTAAGGAGTAATAAAACAAAAAACTTGAAAAAGCTGTAAAAAGTTAAAAACATGAAGACAAAAGAGAATTCCAAAGCACCATATTTTCCAGAAAAAAAACCTAAACAAATAAAAGTTTTTTGATCATAAAAAAAAAAAAGAGTTAAAGTAAAAGATTGTGACCGAAAGATGAAAGATGAAAGATGGTGAATGAGAGAAAGATGGTGAATGAGTTTTGGTTGATGGAACAAGCAATAATAGCTTACTTGAGCAGCAACAATGGTAACATTTATAGAAAAGATTAAGAGATGAGAACTTAGGACGATGGTAAAGAGCCTCAAGCTTGGCAGCTAAAGCAGGTTTAACAACATTACAATGCAACTTTTGGACTTTCTCTAAAAATGAGTTCATTAGAAGAATCAGCCTAAAATAAAGAGCCAGCTAACAATTTTTGTTCTTGTATAAATTATCAGTATTTCATACATTTAGACTATATATATATATACTCTAGCAGTAATATGCATAAAAAATCATGGCAAGCCTAAAGCTGTCATAAAAGAGAGATCACATTCAAGATCAGCTGTTGAATTGATTAAAATGTGATGACGTTTTGTCAAGACTGGAGTATATAGCTATCATCACCAGGTACTTTAGAGGTAAAATTATCAGGAAATTCATTATTATAAATGATGAAAAACACAGGATTGCTGACCACAAGCTATAGAGGAGTTCAAGTGAGAAAAATTTTAGAAACAGGTGTGCAGAACACTGGATTAACTTGTTTCTTTGGAATGACATTTTTTTTTTAAATTAATAAAAATAAAAAAAAAAGAGTTGCTTGACATCATTTAATAAAACAAACAGAAAATTGAATTTTTTTAAACAAGTGATCAATATTTTTATTTTTGCTAAATTAAATATAAAGGCAAGTAAACAGAATATTTTAAAAAAATTTTCATTTTAAAACTTTAAGTCATTAAAAAATACCAAAAATACCTCAATGTGTTTTTTTATTTCAACATCCACAAGGTTCCTCAACATTTCAATAAGCATATTTAAGTTTGAATGTATAAGCTGGGTTTCCATTTGCAAGCAATATAAAGAAAAATAGTTTCTGTTCTCCATAGTATGAATAGCATCCTAAGCATTTAAAAATGCTAATTAAACACACAGAAAGGATAACACTGCATTACAAAAAAAAATTTGCTACATTATCTTTCTGCATAACAGTTTTTTAAATACATATTTTATTTTAACTGTTTTATAACATCTTAAAAACATAATTTGAAAAAATTTGGTGTTCAAGACATTTATAAAGTTTTTTAATACAATATAAGTAGAAACAAAAATATTAAAACATAAATATTTTACATATATTAAATATTTTCTTCACAATTTTACAGAAGAAAATTGAAATAATAATAATTATTTTGTTCACAATATAGATGGTTAGATGTTGTTTTTGTTTATTTTTATAAAATGATATGACTATGTTATTGTCATAGGAACATAATTTGTTATTATTCAATTTTTTAAGTCATGTAATTCAAACTACCAATTTTAATTATGTCATGTAATTCAAACTACCAATTTTAATTATGTCATGTAATTCAAATTACCAACAGTAATATTTTAAAACAACATTAAAACATTTACTAATACTTTGAATGATACACTTTTAAAAGCTTTCAATTAAGAAAAGCTTTATTTCAAGTTAATTCAAATAGAAACTTTTATATAAATCTCAAATAAATTTATTTTATAAAACTACTTTAATTTTTAATTAAAAGTAAATAAAAAAAAGTTACTTCCATTCATTTTTAAAAGTTTGGAATTTGCAATGATGAAACACTGAAAATGGCTTTTTCAACATGCCATCACCAGTGACACTTCATACAAGTTTAAGTATGCAAAGACATTTGTTATTAAATTCTCTGTGTATCAATTGCTCCTTCAATTTGAAATTTAATTTGGAAAATTATATCCATATTTCACTAGCTTTTTCCATCTTTTATTTTATAAAACATTTAACTTTTTTTTTATTTTTCTATAAAACATTTAAATCCATTTAAAGTAGTAATTTAAATTATAATTAATAAAATAAAATAAAAATTGTGGATTTAACTGCAAGTTGTGGATTTTACTGCTAAACCAAATGATTTGACTTATATAATTACCCTTTGAAAAATCAGAATACTGTAAAAGAGGGCTACTTTGCCAAAAATGTTAAATATTTTGCTAAACAAAATTTTTTAATAAACAATTAATTTCCTTTAAAAAACCAAAACACATATATACTTTGACCAATGAAAACATTATTTTAATAATAAAAATTCTAATAAAATATTTACAATTAGTACCTTAACTGGTCAAACTATATAAATTACCACCAACAAATTGCTTATCTGAAAAAGTTTACTTTAAGGGGGACGGGGTGGGTAGAACAAAAAAGATTTGAATATTTTAACTTAAATGAACACCTCTTGCTGATAAATGCGTTGCTCCAGCTGATCAATTGAATCAACATTTTTGACAGTTGCAATGTGATGCTTTTGTTTGTATTGCTGCATTTTATTTAATGCGAGTTGATGGTCACGAAGAACTCCTTTTTCATGTCTTTCAAGTAAATCCTTGTAAAAAAAAAAAGCAATTTTTATAATTTTTAGAAAAAAAATTTAATACTTTTTTTAAATAAAAAATTTTATAGAATAAAATTATAAAGCATAAATATATATATATATATATATATATATATATATATATATATATATATATATATATATATATATATATATATATATATATATATATATATATATATATATATATATATATATATTAAAACAGTGATTTAATAAAAAAAATGAAAACCTTATAACCAGTAGTAATATCAAGAAACATCTCTAAACAATCACCAACATCTTGAGTTTCTTTAGTACTCTAAAATCATATCAACAGGTTTTTTACTAAACATTAAAACTGCTTATGTAAAAATAAAAAAATAACTTAAGAGATAATTTGCATGAAATAATGGATTGTCACAAAACATTTGTTAACATTTGGCTACTTCCTAGAGTAGCATTTTTTAACACTAATAAAAAAAGCATTTCCTAGTGTAACAAGTTGTGACTAACTGCTTATAACAGTAGGTCACAAATTTGAAAAGTATTTTTTTGTAGTTTTGTTTTAATTAACTTAATTCTATAACATTATAATGCTAAACATTAAAACACAAATAAAAAAGAAATTTAATTCAAGTACAAGCTAGTAAATTTTTGCAACTCAACCCCTTATCTTATCAACCCATCTTATTTTCTTTTATTTAATGAAAATTTTACTTTTAATATATACTTTAGTAACTACTAAATTTTATAATGAAATTAAAAAAAGTGGGGTCCTTTTCTTATATTCTTTCTTCTTCTACTCCACTTCAGCGCTGCATACATTGATTGGAAACCGCATAAATAAAACAAAATACTGTCTGTAACATTTATATGAAGATGAATACGAAATCAACACAAAAATAAATGTTGTTTCACAACGACACAGCAAATTAAGCTCCGATTTCCAAATATATATTAGGAGTATTTTTATAATATTATAAATATATATTAGATATTTTTAATAATGCTAATTTTTATATTATAATCATAATCAGTGTATAATAATTAATTATTAAAATATATATAAACAATTAATAAAATAAAATATATATAAATAATAATAATTAAATAAAATAAAATATGTATAAATAATAATAATTAATTATTATTAAGAATAATAAATTTGATTTATTTTCAATTATAACATATTGTTGCCGCTTTCATATTATGAATATTTTTTTTGAATATATATTTTTTTCACGGGTGAGCATTAAATGGCGATTTTTACAGTAATATCGCGATTTATGTTCAATGAAAATCTCAGCAGAAGAAAGTCAGTTATCTTCTACTTCTAATTATTATTAAAATTCTGCTTGACATTTTTTTAAAAATTATTTATTTAACTTTTCAGCCAAAAAGGGCAAAACTTTTAAAGAAATAGCATTTGCGGGTGTTAAATCAATCAAATTTTGTTATTTTTATAGATTGTACTTTATTTCTTGCTGATTTTTTTGATTAACTTGTATAAATCATTTCTCAAAATTTGAAAATATTTTTTTGCAACGCATTCCAACAACAGCAAATATGCTGTTGTTGGAACGCATTGCAAAAGAATATTTTTTAAATTTTGAGAAATGAATTTTAAGCTGCCCAGAAAACTAGAATGAAGTAATTTTTTTGTGACTTTTAAATCCGGAGTCCTTTTTAGAACTTTTTTTTTTCAATTTTAAAAACAGCAAGGGTACTTTTGGTAAAGAATTTTATGGAGGGGAGTTCATTTTTGTTGGGAATTTTATAGGGAATCTGAATCTGAAAAAATAAATAAAAATAAAATATCTGATTGGGGGAACGCTTAGTTTTCAATGAAAAAATTACTAAAATATGAATAATTAAAGAGAAAAAATTATAAATTGAAAAAAAAAAAAAATTTAATTACTTTATAAACTGCAATAGAATGAAAACTATAAAGAGATCTGCATGGTTTGCATTTAGTGAATGCATTATTCAGACTCTTCTGTGTTCTGTGTGACTCTTCTGTGTTCTGTGTGACTCTTCTGTGTTCTGTGTGACTCTTCTGTGTTCCAAAGATGAAGAGCAACAAAGTTTAGGAGAGCAAAAGGTGCTACAGATTAGAAAGGAAGGATATGATGACTTAATTTGGAGAGTTTCAGTTAGAATTCGCAAAACCGGATGCATAAATACTGATGCTGATAAATTGACCAATCTAATTGAGTGGAAAGATTTATATATACGAACCACTACTTACCACAAGCCTCGCAACCCATGAGGCCAGAAAATGTTTTCACAAGCCTATGGTTGTTCCAGATTGGCCATGCCATTCCCAATCCATGGAATTTTCTTTTTTATACAATTATAAGAATATAATAACTAGATTAAAAAATTTTTATGACTAAATTGTATTTAATGTTTATTATAGGTTACAGAGGCTTGTGCAAAAACATATTCCCATATACAGCGAGTAAGATATAAAAGAGCACAAGAAATCAGTAAGGATTTTATGAGCACAAACAATGCAACTAAGTTATATTTAACTTAGTTGGACTCACAAATTTTAAGTAAAATTTATAAACTATTAATTGTTAATTATATTTATAAAGATATCATTATTATATAATATGTATTATAAAATGTATTAGTATATAATATACTGTTTGTTATAACAAAAGTGTTTGACTTATTACTAATTTTAGAAAAGACAGCGCACCTTACAATAACATTCAGTCTAAAATATGAAAAAATTGACTAATTTTTTTAAAAACAACCTTCACAAAAGCGCCCATTATGTGATTATTTTTTTGACTTTTTAACAAAATATGACATTTTCATAAAGTTCAACATAGTATATATTGAATTTATAAAGTAATTAAAAAAAAAATTTAATTAATAGTTTTTTCTCTTTAATTATTCATACTTTAGTCATTTTTTTATTGAAAACTAAGCGTTCTGCCCAACAAGACATTTTATTTTTATTTATTTTTTCAGATTCAGATTCCCTACAAAATTCCACACAAAAATGAACTCCCTTTACTTAAACTTTACCACAACATTCTTTGTCTAAAATATGAAAAAACTCCTTTACTGTGTTTATTTCTATGACTTTTTGAACCAAATAATCAATGTGTCTGATTTTTGTAAAAATACCCTTCACAAAAACTCCTTTACTGTGTTTATTTCTATGACTTTTTGAGCCAAATAATCAACGTGTCTGATTTTTGTAAAAATACCCTTCACAAAAACTCCTTTACTGTGTTTATTTTTATGACTTTAAAATTCAACATAACAATTATTGAGTTAATCAAAAAACATTTAGTGTTGTAGCCTATAATTAAAAAAAACTTATTCTTCAAACTTCCTAAAATTCTTCTCATTCCATTCATAATAAACGATTATTATTTCCTATCATAATAAACCGAAAAAAGATTCCCACTCCTTTCCTTGCACATAATTTATATACAAAACTTTTAACAACAATACTTTTACATTAATATTTAAAGATATTTATATAGACATAAAAATTGTTACAAGAAAAAAACTCATAAATCATCAAAGATACATATGAGAAAAATAAAACTTACATAAATAGCATATTTTTCTGAAAGAGCTGTAAATGGCTCAACTAGAGATTTGAAGCCTTTTTGCAAAAGCTGCCATGTGTTCTTACCACCAGTTGCCCAATTAGTTATTGCACTTGATTCCTCTGACAAAACCCTAAATTCAATAAACTATTGTGCATTAGCTAAATGCGAAGACACAAACAAACACATCTCATATACATATGCTAGTGTGTCCCAAAAAACAGCATTTTTCGAAAAAATATATGCTGTACACTATATAATAAAAAAAACACTAGTTTTAAAAAAGTTTTGAAATATTTTTAGAGGTCCTCCAAGACCCTTAAACATATAATGAGTTCCTAATATTATCAAAAAAAAAATTTTTTTAAAGTGTATCGTGTTGGGTCTCAAATAGAGCAAAATTATATAAAAATTTCAAAAATGATATAACTATATTATATAAAGATAACTATATTATATAAAAATATATTATATAAATATATTATATATTATATAAAACTATATTATGTAACTATATTATATAAAGATAACTATATTATATAAAAATAAATATGTTAGATTTAACAGAATAAAACCTTTTTTTAACAGAATAAAAAATGAAGTTTATTGACTAAAAAAGAAAAAAGTGGATTTTTACCAATTTTTTTTTTCACGTTTCAAATATTTTATAACAAATTTTCATAATATTGATTCATTTGAGACCCAATATGATACTTTCTAAAAATTTATATATATATATATATATATATATATATATATATATATATATATATATATATATATATATATCAGGCATTCCCAGGAAAGGCGTGCGGTCGCACGCCTTGTTTGTCCACGCATAGAATAAATTTTTCTGACTAACTGACCACGTTTTATTATTATGTGTTTCAAGAATTCACGCCAAAACAAAGCTAAACAAAAATACCGCAAAAATGCAAGCAATCTTAAGGTAAATAACAGAAATCTGTTTGTGCTTTAAAATTAAAAAATTAATGTATATTATTAAAAAAAAAAATTTACCTATATTTTAATTATTTTTTTGTTTTTTGTTTTTTAGGGTGGTAGTTATTTTAGCTATGAAAAATCAAATCAATAAGAAAAATCAAATCAAAAAGAAAAAGATTATTGTTTAATGAAAATAAAAGGACCTTTTAATGTAAAATTTGTTTTCGTAACAATGACAACAGAAGCAATACAATTATTTTTTTAACTTCTTTCGTAATTACAAAATTATGCAATTGAATAATTTCAACAAAATAAAAGGCGAGCATTGACTCAGTATAATCAGTTTAGAATAAGTCGAGAGAGAACCTTTTTCACGTTAAAATTTTGTTATGTAAAACAAAAACAGTATAAAAATTTTGAAAAAAATGTTCAAGACTTTTTTTTTTTTGTTACAAGATTTTTTTTTTTTTTAATTTTTTTTTTATTATCAAAATATTTTTCTTATATCCAATTTCAATTTTATACTTTGTTTAGACTTCGTTCCCTTTTTTTAATATTATTTTTATTCTCTGTAGATAAGTTCCGCTTTCCCATGAAATATTGCAGCGGTCATGTTTTCTGAAATATTTATTCTATGTGTGGGAAAGCCTGATATATATATATATATATATATATATATATATATATATATATATATATATATATATATATATATATATATATATATATACAGTGTACTCAAAAAAAAAAAGGGACAGCATGATTTTTTTTTTAAATAAAAAAAAAATCAATTTTTCTCAATTATTTTTTAAGTTTATTTCGAATATGTCAAATAATAACTATTATTACACTAAATTTGTCAATAAAGAACAAAAAAAATTCAAAAAAACTCTAAGACTTATAACAAAACTGCGGAATTAGTAAAAATCAACTTGATAGAAAAATTACAATTTTTAAAATAAAATTGTAAAATTAATGTTTTCTAAATTTTTACGTCACTTTTGTTTAATACTCAATACAATTTCATTTTCTCTTGTTACAATTGACATTAAATAAGTCTTTAAATATTATAATAATTATTAATACTTGGTTGCATAACCTTTAGCAACAATAACCGCTTGGCATCTGTGGGGCATGCTTTCAACTAGTTTTTTTAACAAGCTAACTTCCATTGAATTCCAACCATTTAAAAGTGTCATAAATAATTCATCTTCATTGCTAGGTGTTCTGTCTTTGAGTTTAGAATCTAATATAGACCACAGATTCTCAATTGGATAAAGATCAGGTGATTGTGTGGGCCACTCAAAGGTAGTTATTCCAGCCTTTTGTATATATCTTTTAATTTTTTTGGCTGTATGCTTTGGGTCATTGTCTTGCTGAAATATATAGTTTCCATCTGAAAATAGATGTGTTATACTTGGTTTTAATTGGTGAACTAAAATATAATGGTACTTATGTTGGTCTATGATTCCTTCAACTCTGTACAGGTTTCCCACTCCATGAGCAGCAAACGCACCCCAAAGCATAATTTTTTTGTCATGTTTTACTGTGGCACGTGTGCACTTTAGATTATATAGTTCACTTTTTCTTTTCCAGATTTTTTCTCAATTACCATATTGTAACACAAAAGGTGACTTATATGTCCATATGACACCTTTCCATTGGTCTAATGTCCAGTTTAAATGATCTCTGCACCATTTTAGTCTCTTGACACGATTTTTCTCGTTTGTAAAAGGCTTTTTCGTTTGCCAACCTGTGGTAAACTCTTGACCTATCTTTATTCTTGCAACAATTGTATTGTTACATAAGTGTTCAAGGTTTAAATTTTGCTTTATCTGATTCACTAATATCCTACGATTCTTCATCACTCCCCTCACAATCAATCAATCTTCTCTTTCTGTTGTTTTTCACTTTCTTCCAGACCCTGACTTTCGGCAAATTAAATTTTGAGAAATAAATCTGGACACAACTCTTTGAACAGTAGATTTACCACACCCAACTTCTTTGGAAATATTACGCAAAGACCAATCAGCATTGTGCATTTGAATTATTCTACCTTTATCAAAATCTGAAACATGTTTTTTCCTAAATTGGTAAATATGAGTTTTAGCAAAAAACAAATGATATAGTTAAAACTAAATGCTAAAATACTAAAAGAATGAATGTCTTATACCTATTTAATTGTTTAATTTTTGAAGAAGTAGAATCAAAAGCATCTTTCTTTGCCATTGTTGCCATTTTTTATATTTTTTTAATTACATAAAATTGCAGAAAAATTTAATTTTTAATAAAATAATATAAATTTTTTTGAATCATGAAGATATTAAAAGTTAAAAGCAATTTTAATTTCCAAAAAAACAATATAAAATCATAAGTAACACTTTATCAAGAACAAAATTATAACGGGAAAACTTAAGGCATAATTTTAAAGAAATCTTTTTTTGATCTGTATTTAATTCAAGGGCCCTCCTCCTTTTTTTCTGATTCTTTTTAATTTTAAATACTAAAATAGTGTAAATATATTAAGTATCTAACATTAAAAAACAAAAATTTTTAAAAATTTCATAGCACAATCAGTTTTACTCTATTTTATAAAATTTATAACATTTTTTCATTTATCTTTTTTAACACTTATGCAGTATAATGAATTTCAACAGTTTCAATAATTTTTTTTTGTTTTTTTATTAAGGAATATAGTGCATTAGTAGTTCTAATTTTATAATTGAGAAACAAATTTTTAAATGTGATAAAACAATGAGTTGTATGACTTTTAGAAAAAAAATCATGCTGTCCCTTTTTTTTTTTGAGGACACTGTATATATATATATATATATATATATATATATATATATATATATATATATATATATATATATATATATATATATATATATATATATATATATATATATATATATATATATATATATGAAATGTATAAATGTATACAATATATAATAATGAAAGAAATAGCACTCCTCTGCGAGTTAGGCTATTTGTACACTCCTTTACGAGTTAGGCTATATATATATATATATATATATATATATATATATATATATATATATATATATATATATATATATATATATATATATATTATATATATATATATATATATATGCATATATATCCATATATATATATATATATATATATATATATATATATATATATATATATATATATATATATATATATATATATATATATGCATATATATCCATATATATATATATATATATATATATATATATATATATATATATATTATATATATATATATATATATATATACATATACATACATATATAAAGACCCATTTTAAAAACTAGTAACATTAGCCACTATTTTTAAGTATTGTGTCAGGCCAATAATCTAGACAGTTAATGATACAAGACACTTTAAATCATTTATTGCTTTGTGTAGTATTTCATTTTGAGAGAGCTATATACATTTGCTATTTTTAAAGATACAGATTATACTTTTGTTTATTTTTTGAGCATTTTGAGATTTTGTGACATAAAAATTTCTTTTTATTAATAAATTGTGAAAAATAAAAAAGTTAAAATAAAGCCAATATATCTATAAAATAATAGAAAGCACGCAAAATAATGTAAAAGACCGTAAGTACATATGGATGTATAGGTGTAATGCATAGATCTGTTCTTTTTGTGTCATTTAGTAAAATCTTATGCTGTTAGTGACCAGGGTAAAAGATTTATTGTTAAACGTATGTCAAACCAGCCTAGTCATACTCCAGAGTACCATGATGGATTAAACACTTATACATATCTGACTTTAGATTTTAAAAACTACCCCAAACACATTTTACCCATAAATAACTACTTTTGTGGTGATTGTAATTATGTTTGAAAAATAGTTGTATTTCATGACCATTCACCAAGAATGAGGAGTCCCAAAAAAGATTTGAAAATCACAAAAAGATTATTCTTTTCTAGCCTTTAGTCTTCAGGAACCCCAAAAACGTAAAGATGCTTTTGGAATACTTTTAGGTTTGAGGAATAGTTAATTTTTTAACCTAGAGTCCTTAGATATAATGGCGGCAATGCAAGCAAAACATTTGTATAAGCAACAAATACAAATTTCTCATTAGTTCTCATTAATCTTCCAATGATGCCCTTTCTAGACAAGGTGCAAAAATGCATTGTAAACATAGTTGGACCTGCTCTTGCAGTCAACCTCTAAGCATTATCACATCATCGTATTGTTGCTTCTCTTTCTCTTTTCTATAAATACTATGATAGCGACTGCTCTAAAGGGCTAGGGCCTCTTGCGCCATCTACTAAAATTGATTCTCATGTTACTTCAATTAAGTTTCATCCTTTTACAGTGGCTGTTCCTAAGTGCTCCAAAAATTCTTATTTGTCTAGTAAAAAATTCTTTTCCTCGAACATCAGATCTTTAGAATTCACTTCTTTCATCTTGATTTCCTGATTCATTTAATTTGCAATCTTTGAAGTTGTCTGTTAATCATTACCTTGCTTTATAAATTTCATCTTTTCTCTTCAGGTAACTTCTAACTCTAATAGTGGTTACTTGCTGCCTTGTTGGAAGTGAAGATGTTGAAAAGAAAAAAATTTAAATAAATACATGGATGAGGGAAAAATAAAATAAAAAATGATAAAGGAGAATAAGTTTTTTAATTTAGACAGTTGTTTAGACAAAAATATAGTCTAATAGATAAGTAAAAATAGACACAGCATATAAATAATATATAGAATAAAACACAATCCTAACATTCAAGAGCAAAAGAAATTATAAATGTCCTGATCCAATATTTGAGGAGTCAGTGTATAGAGTTAAATTAAAGAATTTAAAAAGTAAATAAAGCCAATGATATTCATGAAGTTAACCAAAAGTATTAGAAAAATGATCAAGCAGTATGGCAAATCCTCATCAAAAATTTTCAATAAATCATGGCATTAATTAAATTTATATGGCATTAATCTAAAGTTATAGTAACAAATTATGAAACTTGGATTTAAACATTTTTAAGTTCTGAAAGATAAGATTTCAGAATGGTTTTATGTTATTGACGGTGTTCAATAAATTTCCACCAGTGGCTATTGATGGTGTTCAACAAGGCTTATTTCCACCAGTAGCTATTACTGTTTCTAGTTTTAATAAATAACCTATTCCTAAATCTTTCTGAAAACTGTAAACGCAAATTATATTGTTGCAGCAAAAAATGTCAAATGTAGTAAAGATTTTTGCAAAATTTTGCAATTTGATCAAATAAATGGTTACTAAGATTCAAAAATTAAAACAAAGAAAATATTGTGAAATTCGAAACAAATAACCAAAAACAGGAATAGGAAATGAATTTGTCAAAAGATTTAAAATGGGATTATCATATTAGCTAAATGTTGCTACCCTTTTCAAGCAAGAAAAAAAATTTACTTGTATATATGTATATATGTGTATATATATACATATATACATATATATATATATATATATATATATATATATATATATATATTATATATATATATATATATTTATATATATATATATTTATATATATACATATATATATATATATATACATATTTATATATGTGTGTATATATATACATATGTATATACATATATATATATATATATATATATATATATATATATATATATATATATATATATATATATATATATTTATATATATATATATATTTATATATATACATATATATATATACATATTTATATATATGTGTGTATATATATATACATATGCATATACATATATATATATATATATATATATATATATATATATATATATATATATATATATATATATTTATATATATATTTATATATATACATATATATATATATATATACATATTTATATATATGTGTGTATATATATACATATGTATATACATATATATATATATATATATATATATATATATATATATATATATATATATATATATATACCCATATAGTGTAGTCGAAAGAGCGTTTTAATTTAAAAAAAGTCTCTTACGACTACAATTTTAATTACCTCGTCTCTTAAGCTGTTTTTGATTGTCATCGAAATGTCAAAGCAATTAATTTATGCGGAAGTACATTAAATTTAATTGTTTTTTAAAAAATTTTTAAAAAACCGCAATTATAACGACTAGAAAGTTTTTTTAAATTAGTGGTGTTTTTGTTATTGATTTAATAAAAAACATTTTTAAAACATGCGTAAATGTTGCTACATCGACTATCTTATAGCCTGACTCGCAACGGAGTGCTGCTACATCGACTGACAAATAGCCTGACTCGCAACGGAGTGCTGCTACATCGACTGACAAATAGCCTGACTCGCAACGGAGTGCTGCTACATCGACTGACAAATAGCCTGACTCGCAACGGAGTGCTGCTACATCGACTGACAAATAGCCTGACTCGCAAGGGAATGCTGCTACATCGACTGACAAATAGCCTGACTCGCAAGAGAGTGCTGCTACATCGACTGACAAATAGCCTGACTCGCAAGAGAGTGCTGCTACATCGACTGAGGGTTTGGTTTGGCCAGTCAGTCTATCAATTAAAAAAAAAATTAAATTTTCAAAACTGTTTCTGGTCTGGTTTATTAACGCACTCTTTAAAACTACAGTTTATGGGAAACGTTTTTTGATGCCATGCAAGAGACATGCAAGAGTATATATATATATATATATATATATATATATATATATATATATATATATATATATATATATATATATATATATATATATATATATATATATACAAAGAAAGAGATAAATAGACAGATAATTAGATGGATATATATATGGTTGACACAGCAAGACCATTTTTAAATGAAAATAACTTAAATGTCAACTAAATAAGTAAAATTATTAAATTAAAATTATGACAGTAAAAAAACTTTTAATAAAAACTTACAACATATTTTTGCTGAATGTAACCATATCTTGTGAATTACCTAATGTTAAACAAATAATTATATAGAAAAAAGCATGAAAAATTTGAACACAAATAATTGTATATAATTATGAAATATCATTAATCATGTTATATTTGAATAGTCATCTGTGGGAGAATTATACATAATACAGAGTCTGGGCAGGTACAATCTAGATATGAATAGCATAAAAGGGTTTTAACACATGATTACATTTATACACTGACAAAAATAATAGAAAAAACTTTTCCATCAGTGTTCTACTTCTTATTCAAAAAACTTTTTTTTTTACTAAAATAAAATTACCATCAGTTCTATTTGCTAGTCTATCTATAACATCTTTCACTTGCATCAAACACCGGTGTATTGTAAAAATCTGTTGCCGACTATTTGCAAGATTTCCTTGTGTATCTGATGGTACCATGTCCTAAAAAAAAGAAAAATAAGCAATCTCATGTAGGTAGTAGGCAAAAATAGTAAAAAATGAAACAGAAATCACAACAGATTAAAATAACCTTTGCTTTCGAAGATAATGGGTTAGTTATAAACTCATCTGGAACACCTTTGAATTGCTCTTTAAGTTTGGATCCAACATCCTGTTAAATTGCATGAATGAACTTTTTTAAATTAGTTATTCAATTAAAGTATCAAAAAATATTTTTATCTATTTCCTATATACACATCTGCCAAGTAGGAAGTAAGCCCATTTTTAGCCTAAGTGCTTTTATTTAAGTCTAAGAAGCAAGCCCTAAACACTAAATATAGAAATAAATCAATACATATTAAATTTTTCACTATCTTTTAATTTATTTTAACCAACTATGCCTAAAATATACTTAAAGTAAAGAAGACCTAGATGAAAGCATAAATCAAAAAATAAATATTTAAATCAATAACACTTTACTTAAAAAGGTAATCTTAAAAACAGTTGACTAGAATCAAAAGATCAAAAGTTAAAAATCAAAAGATTAACTAAAAAAAGTTGTTCACAAACTAAGCAATGTTAAAGTGGTATTTAAAAGTAAATGAAAGGTTCACTTAATTTAACAGTCTTGCATAATTTTCCTAATAAAAAAATATATAAACACCAATTATTATGAAAAAAAATTAGTTTAAGCCTTTTGAATATAAGCAGATATATAAAGTTTTTGTGCATTTTTTTATACACTTATCAATCTTTTGTTCCTGCATAAACTCAAAAAGCCATTAAGTAAATGGGAAAAGTGGCTTGTCTGGGTTCCCACTATTAAAACTGAGACTAAAAGTAAGGATTTTAAGGAGATTTAAAGAGATATTTTCTTAATATTTAAGGAGATTTGGTCGCAAACAACAATTTTTTGAAAGAAAAAATGAGGAGAGTTAAGGAGAAAAAGATTATATTAAAAACAGAATCTTATTTTTTTTCAATAAATTTTAAATATAAACAGAGAAATTATTACAAATTAATATATTACTTTATATATATAAATATATATTTAATAAAAATATAGGTTTGCAAACTATCAAAGAACAATATATTTTCCTCTTTTTTAATAAGTATAATCCATTCACTTAAATAAAATTTCCTAGATAATAAAGAGTGCAGTCAAATTTGAACTTTTTTAAAGGTTATTTAAGGATATTTAAGGAGGTTTTTATTTTTTAAGGATATTTAAGGTTTTTAGGGAGGAGTGAGAACCCTGCTTGTTTCTAATTAGTTGGCTACCCATTAAAAATTATGACTAGTTATAGCTTTATATGTATTATGATACATTACCAACTCACTATGAATTGCGTTGAAAACATTAACTTACATCGTACTAAATTAATGCTATCATGTATAAAAATAATCACATTCATATTAATTAGATTGTATCAAAATTAAAAAAAAAAAATCAGAAACTAATAACATTGACAGTGAAATGAATTTCTTGCAGAACAAGTTTTTTATTATATAATTATTTGTTTAAATTATAGACTTTAACTTAACACAAGCTGTAAAGTTTTTATCTATACCTATAAAAACATTATCAATATCTATACAACCATCATCCATATAACCATTGTTTATATCTATCTATACAATTTTATATCTCACACTCGTTTAAATGGATGTTTACTATTCAACATGGAAATTTGATACCTCATGTCATAGCCACACACATATTTAAGATGGCATAATGCATAAGTATTATAGCCATACTTGGCTAACACCTAAGTGGTATAAATATCATAACCACACATGATCTACATTTACACCATTAATTAAGTATGGTTATCATTTAATGACACATGTGGTCCACATCAAATTTTCTTGTTTGGTAAAGTTGGCAAAAATTATAATTTAGGAGTATTATCTATCATACATAGAAAAAGTTAAAATAAAAAAATAAAACAACAGCTAAAACTTTTTATTTATATCAAGTAATTTACTATTTTAAAAATAACAACTGTCATATCTAAAAAAGGCATCATTAATTAGTGAATAAAAAATGACATTTCTAAATAATAATAATAATAATAATTAAAAAAAAACTCACTGATCCTGTATATGAAAGAAAGTAGCTGATAATGTTGTCCTCTCTCATTGCCGGATGTTTCATGATTATTGTTAAAAAGCGCTTTAATGCTCTTCTTCGTCCTTCAATGAACTCCTTATTCGCTTTACAAAAATTAAAATGTCCAGTTTTTGCCTAGCCGTATATTTTGAATAAATATTTCAAATACTATAAATTAATAACTGTAACAAGCAATATAAAAAGCACTATTAAAATAAATGTATACACATATATGTTGTATACTGCTGACTAAAGCTTGCATGAAATGTCGCTGATGACATAATAATAAAAAGGACTGACATCATGCTAAAATATCAAACTAAAATACTAGATAGACAAAGGGTTCATTACATACATAAAGTTTACTTTAATAGTTTATTAAACTATTATATTCGACAATATGCATGAAAACCTTTAACAGCAAAAAATAAACATTGCTTATTTTTTGCTGTTCTGCAAACTGAATATGCAGCAGTATATTTATATATATGTATATATTCTGTGTTCCATGTTTAACTTACTCTAGCAACAATTTTATCAAAATCCTCCTATTTAATATCTTAATTAAACTTATAATAATTTTGTATGAAGCCTCTTAGGCTGATATTCAAAAGATATTCCAAGATATTCTAACTCTTAGGAACAGTTCATTCCAATACTACAAAGAAAGCTAGAACAAAAATTTGCTTGGTCACTTATGCAGCAGAATGCGACGTTATTAATTTCATACTAATTACCAACAAGCAGTTGATAAAAATTAAAAAACAAACATATTTTTGCTTACTTGAAACATTAGCAAAAAATGTGGAAACAGAAAAATCTTGTGCATTAATTATACAACTTGTTTTTGTATAATTAACTAAATTTTTAAGTTAAATGACAATTAAAAAAGAAAAATAACATAAAAATTATTTAAACTTTCAACAAATAACAGGTTTAATTACTATAGTAATATGGTATATAAAACACTGTTATCTTGTTGTATAACTAAGAACAATATCTAAATATTATCATATAGCAATATGATAAAAAATACTATTTATTATAAACTAAGCTATTTTTATAAGTAATTTTAATACTATTTGTTCTAGAGGATTTAGTGTCATCCGATTTGTAAGATTATTATTTACTGTTCAGCAAGATGTTTACAAGCTTTATCAAATTTTGATAAATTAATGAAAGATGTTCAGCACTCTATAGCATTAAATTATCAGTGGAAAATTGACTTTATGCCTTTTTCCAAAAAGTTTGCTAAATAGACCAAGCACCTGCACCAGAATCATATATAAGTTTAAAATGCATATTAATAACCCTCATTGTAAACTAGAAGCGCTTTTTGATGCAAAATGCATAGCACACTAATATAATTTATAACAGATTAAAATATTACCTCCAATTTTCTTGGGTGGCAATTTTGGAATAATTCTGTATGGATATCGCATTAACAATACATCATAGAACGAGCTGAAGTCATTATATCGACGCTGGACACTCATTTTATGCCTCTAAACAATTTTTATAAATTAATACCAAAGCTCATTAACTTCAGAAAAATTACTTGATAGTTATTGTAAAGTTTTTTCTAATCATTAAATTTTATATATATATATATATATATATATATATATATATATATATATATATATATATATATATATATATATATATATATATATATATATATATATATATATATTAAACAAAATAGAATCAGTTTAATTTTAAATTTACAAAACATAGTTTAAATCAAAAACACTTTTAACTAAAAAATTAAAATTATTGTCAACTTAATATAAAAAATAAAATTATTGTCTAACGATTGTAAAAAATCAAAATTATTGTTAAATTAATGCAAAAAATAAAATTATTGTAACTACATCAGCTAGTTTATGTACTTTTTATCATTGTAAAACAATATATATGTATATATATGATGAAATATATATGACAATATGATGAAGATTGTCATTCTTTGAGATAATTCAGAAAAAGTGGAAACGATATTATGCTGCAAGAATTTTATTTTAACATAAACACATTTCTTACGTTTTTCCTTTTCATTTTAAAAATAGCTTCCCCGTTAATATTATTATTTTGTAAAAAACAAAATTTAATTCAACATGTTATGTTTTTAATAGTTTTCTGTTTACTGTGGATTTGATTTTGAAACTTGAATTAAATTTGAAATTTTCGTAAGGTAAATCTATTTGTTAACTTTAATTAAACTTATTTCTTATCTTATTAAATTTTGTCAACGAAAGTTTTAAATTTGACAATAAATATATTATTGAAATATTTGTAATGATAATGTGTTGTCATTATTCTAACCTAGGGCGTGATATTAAAAAAAAAAGGAAGCAGTTTGCTCCGTTTGTCGTGAAAGAAATACAAAGTATACGTGCATGAAATGCTATATTTTCTTTGTTTAAACCACTTTTAGAACAGTCGCCTGCAGCTAAGTCCATACATGAAAAAAATGCCAAAGAAGAAACAAGTAAGATTACAGCAAATTTTCATAAAGTTTCAGTATCGGCAGTAGAAACTTGGAAGTCGGAGCTCGCTGAGTATTCACTTAGCAAATGGCTATTTTATGACATTGATTCAAATGAAAAAGTAAAAAACTTAAAATGCAAGTTTTGTACCAAGTTTAATGATATAATAAAAACTATGCCATACTATACGAATACATTCATAGTTGGATCAGCAAACTATAGAAAATCGAATATTCTTGATCATTGTAAATCTCAGCAACACTAAAAACCATACACTCTTTTTTTTAAAAAATCTAATAATTTTCCAAATGCATCTAAGTCTTTATTGCCCTGTAAAAATAACGCAACAATTACTGATGGTTTGAAAAAAATGGAAAAAAATGACCTTGAAAAAACCCTTTAAAAATTTCAACTTTCTTACTTTACAGCGAAACAACAGTTACCTATTTCAAAGTTTGTTCCAACTGTTAAATTAGTTGAGCTTTTCGGTATAAATATGGGCAAATCCTATATTTCAGATCGCCAATGCGTTGTATTTATTGACTATATTGCAAGAAGTCTGCAAAATTCGTTACATGATAGCCTTAGAAATGCTAAATTTTATAGTGTATTGTGTGATGGTTCAACAGACAGTTCAGTTATTGAAAATGAAGTGGTGTATGCATTATATTTTGATCCACAGCCAGTTGGTTCGGATGCGATTGAAATCAGGACTTCGTTTTCAGATATAAAACATTTGGAATCTGGAAAAGCCCAAGGTGTTGTAAAGGTTTTAGAAGAATGCTTTCTAAATTTGCTAACACCTATTAAACGCATTGGTTTTATATCAGATGGGGCTGCACTAAATAGAGGCGATCAAAGTAGTGTTAAAACCATACTTCATGAAAAAAGTCTGTGGCTTGTGTTTATTTGGTGTGTTGCACACTGTTTAGAATTAGCTATTGCAGATGCTCTAAAAGATACAGAATTCGATCTTGTAGATGAAATTATATTACGAAGTTATTGTTTGTACCAAAAATCACCAAAAAAACTCAGACGGCTTTGCGATTTATATAGTGTTTTAAAAGACGGGATGAAAACGCTTGATGAAAGTTGCAAGCCTAAAAAAGCATCTGGAACATGATGGATTTCATATAAAGTTAATGCCATGAAGTCTTTCCTTGATAAATATGGTTTATACATTACCCATCTAGAACAATTATTAACAATTATAGAACATTAGCTGAAGATCCATCGATTTTAGCTCCTGACAAAGCTAAAATGAAAGGGTATCTCCTAAAATGGAAAAAAGGAAAAATACCACTTTTTTTGCATTTTTTATCGATTTACTCGAGATTCCCTCAATTCTTTCAAAGTCTTTTTAGGATGATTAAGTTGATTAAGTTCAAGTAATGACACCTTACAAAAGCAAAGAAAAGATGGGAATTAATTATTTGAGAAAAAAAGTCTTGAAAATTTGCCTAGAGTTTTTTCTAAAAATTGCCCAGAGTTTTTTTTTAGAGATTTTCTTTCACAAATCAAAAAAACAAACGGCAAACATTATTATCATGACATTGAACTTTTAGACTTTGAGCATGAGTTCAAAATTTTCAAAACAAAAACTGTAGAGTATTTAAGAATGGTCAGGGACTGCATTATACAACGTGCAGAAAACAAAAAAGAAAGTACTCTTATTTTAAAGTATGCATCCCAAGTATTAAATTGCAACGGTTGGCTTCGGGAGGTTATAGCTGAAAGCGGAATCATAACGCGAAATTTAGATTTTGCCGATGAAGCTTTAAATTATATATGCAAACACTTTCAAGAGCCGTTACTCTCTGCTGCTGTTGTTTTTTCAGACATCTTAACTCAATGGAAACAAATGCTAAGTTATGCTCAAGAGTTTTTATCCCCAGTTGAAACGCAATACCGAATTACCTGGCAACGACTATTTGTATCACCTAGAAGTAAATCATGGACCTCTATTTTAACAGTTGTTGAGCTATTGTATACTTTGCCAATTTCTAACGCTAAATTGGAAAGAATGTTTTCAAAGATGAAAAGTCTAAAATCAAATTATTGAACCTCATTGACAGAATCTTGCATTTCAAATAATTTGCGCATTTTGGAAGATGGTCCATTGCTGAAAGAATTCAATTTTCTTCCTGTAATTGAATTGTGGTGGAGTGATAAGGGAAGATGCCCCAACCAAAAACCAACGGGAATTTATAAAGATCTGGTAAACAAAAAAAGAACAATTACTTCCCTTAGCAACAGTGAAAATGATAGTGGAGAGGATCTTCTGAAATCTCTTTTTGATGACAATTAAAAGAAAAACAAATTTATTTGTGTAAAAATCTTTAAGCTTTAAGATAAATATAAAATGTTGGTCTTGCTTTTATAATCCAACATATTCCTATCGGGAAAAAATCGTTTATGTAGGCATTATGTTTGCATGGCAAATAGCATTAAATAGAAATAGTTGATACCAATATTCTAAAGTAAAAATGATTATCGCGATAGCAAACACTATTTTTTATTACTATTTTAATAAAAACTGTTTCTATTCTTTTAGAAATGTTGTCGTTTTTTTCCAAAAAAGTCACAAGTTTTTAACTTGTAAATCTAACTATGAAAGTATAAAAAAAAAGTGTTTATACTTACATGATCTAATTATGTTTAAGTTAAAACCAAAATACTAATGACCGCACATACCAACAGTAAATAAAAAATCGAATATTAGTTTTGTAGTAAAAATATTTTTTGTTGAAATGTATCGGTCATGTCCGACAAACCAATCAATATATATATATATATATATAGATATATATATATATATATATATATATATATATATATATATATATATATATATATATATATATATATATATATATATATATATATATATATATATATATATATAATTTAAATTTAACACTTGTTTACAGTTGATTTTCTCAGGGATTTAAATGTACTTACAACTAAACGCATATATTGGGTTTTCCCCTTTTAAAAAAAACATTTGCACTAACTGGTTTTGATAAAATAAATATTGTAAAGAAACGAAATTTACTGCTTTTTCGGCTTTGTTTTTTTTTTTATTTCCATTAAATTATTTTATTTTTATGTACAGTGAAACCTAATGTATTTTTACTAATTTTTTACTCAATCCAAAAAAAATAAATAGTGTTTTCAGTTTTAAGATGTTATAAGCAGAATTTGTTTTTAACAAATATCATTATAATTTTGAAAATGTATCTTATATTTATAGCTCTAGTACAAGTTTTGTTTTTAAAATAAAATAAATTTAAGTTGGGCTTTTAAAGAGTTTATTTACTGATCGCATTATTTTTGATTGGTTTGAATTTATCGGCAAACAGAGAGGGAAAACCCAAACATAACATTTATAACTCGAGTTAAAAAAAACCTTTTTGTATTGGCGTCATTTATTAAGTTGTAGTTATAAAATGAATAATGCGCTTCTGTAAATAATGAATGAAACTGTAAAATAATGGAAAAATAAAAAAATTGGAAAATAATGCTTTTGTTAAGCGCATTATTCAAACCAGTATTTGGAACTTACCCGAAACTTAACTGAAATATATAGTAAAAATAAAGTTATATATAATACGAACATTTTAAAGTAACTTGAATTAAATTTATTAAATCTTTTTTTACTATTGGAAATTTCATCATAAAAAAAAGGGAGCATTTTAAAATTAAAAAATTTTAAAATGCTCTGTTTTTAAATTAAATGAAAGAATTTTAACTAAATTTAATAAATTTATTTACTAAAAACTATAATTAATAAAAAAATATTTAAATTTAATAAAATAAATTGAAAATATTTCTTTTTTTAAATTTAAATGTTTTTAAACTTATGAAATATAAAACTTAATATTAAATATGATAAAAAGTTTAAACTTTAAAAACTTATTTTTTTTTTCTAATTTTTAACAACAACAACAATAAAAATAATTAAAAAAACTTTTCTTTAACAAAAAATCTATTAGTTTACAATTGCGGTTAAATGCTTTTACGACTTTATTTTCTTCCGAATAAACGTCACATAAACGATATCAAATGATAATTTAAATGTTCTAAAAGATTAAAGTTTTTGCGTAACGCAAAACTGCTGAACGTGTAGGCTAATCGCCTTTTCGCAGGAAATTGCGAGCTGCGTAACGATTCTTAACAAGGCCTATATATATATATATATATATATATATATATATATATATATATATATATATATATATATATATATATATATATATATATATATATATATATATATATATATATATATATATATATATATATATATATATATATATATATATATAAATATATATATATATATATATATATATATATATATATATATATATATATATAATATATATATATATATATATATATATATATATATATATATATATATATATATATATATATATATATATATATATATATATATATATATATATATATATATATATATATATATATTAGTGATGTAAATTTTCCAGTAAAATTTGATTCAAAATTTACCGGTAAAATATTTATTTTAATTCTAAAGAAAATAAAATTGGCAAAACAAACGTTTTATTTATTTTCTAAATAAAATAACTGAAATAAAAACGACAAAAAGAACAACTAATTTATGTTTTATTTTAAACATACCTCTAGAATACTTTTTTAAATAGAATACTTTTTTAAAAAAGACAAAGTTTTATTTTAATTCTAAATATAATAATTTATTTATATTTAATTATTATGTATAAATACGGCAAAACTAATGTTAATTTAAATTCTAAACATTCATATTCATACTCAAGATAAAACATTTAAAAAGAAATACAGCAAAACTAATGCTTATTTAAATTTAAATAAATGAAAAAAAAAGCAACGGCAATAATTTACATAATTTTTTTACCTTACATAATTTAATTATAAAAGGTAAAAAAAAAATGCATTTTAAAATTTAGTAAAATTTGATAAAAAATTGATTATCTAAAAAATGATTTGATTGTCTGGTTTTTAATCTTTTTTATTTCAGCTAATCAATGTTGATCAGCAACCATAGAATAATTATTTTGAGTACTGATATATATATATATATATATATATATATATATATATATATACATATATATATATATATATATATATATATATATATATATATATATATATATATATATATATATATATATATATATACTTAGGCTGAAAATATATTTAAAACGCCTGGCTTACCTTACTAAAAACAACATATTCACGATATTTAAGAAGAAGACCTTTTTTCTCTGCTTGAAGCTCAATTTCAATAGAATCTTGATCTAAATCTACTTCCATTATAATTTTTACAAAACATTTATAGCTCTAATAAATAATTCAGATTTGATGTAACACTAAAATAGAAAAACAATATCAGATATGTATGTAATGAAACCCCTAAAAAGGTATGTGCAGCTAAACATACCTTTTTAGGGGTTTATATGTGTATATATATATATATATATATATATATATATATATATATTTTATACATATATATATATATATACATATATTTATATATATATATATATATATTTTATATATATATATAAATATATATATATATTTAATTGTCTTTACATACCTAGTCTTGCATGAAACACTTTTGATACTTCAGTACATACATCAACGGAGGGTTTGATGCAAAAAGAGTTTTTGTTTTAATTCTCTAATTAGTGCAATTAAATGACAACAGTATAAATATACAAAGTTTAAAGTTTGAAGCATGTCTGGAAGTTTTCTTAGGCATCAAAAAACTTTTTATGCCTCTTGTATGTGTGATAAATAACTATAAACTGAAAAAATCTGAAATGCCTATTTTCATAACTTTTTTGTTTAAAACTATATAGTACTGGTAAAAACATGTAAACTTTTACATATAAAATATTAGGTTATTCGCCTTAAGACTTTTTTTTAAAGCAATTTACTAAATAATTTAGTTTTTAATGAAAATGATGTATTTAATAAGGAAGGCTAAATTTTAAAAGACTAAGCAACAAATAGTATATCTAATAAAATACTTTACAAATTACGTGTTAGAAAATTAGAATTTTAGAATTATACTTATAAAAATAGGTTTTTACGTAGAAAAGTAGTACAAAAAATACAGTGAAACTTTGATTTTAATAGGTTTGGCACTGTGGCTTACTATATGAAAAACATCTATTATTGTATTCCTTAGCTTGATATAATACCATAACATTTGTTGCAAACCTGGGTAACAAATGTTACTGGTATCCAGCACCTTTAAAAAGTTTCAGGTAAAGAAAAAAAATATGCTCAAAATTGTGTAAACTTGAGAAACAGAATTATGAGACATGTTTGATCCATGCAAATACAAAAACAAGAATGAAAACTGCATATTGTGTTAAAAACTCTTTCCAATACCTTAACTTTTATACTTTTAAAATAACCATCACATCAATAGTGAGGCTTCATCTGAAGTAGAGTGCATGCATATGGAATCCAAATTTAAAAAAAATCAAAGCAAAAGAGAGTCCAGCAACTACAGTAAAACAAGATGATTGTGGTAAAATACAAGGATATGGATCTGCTGCTTTGGTCTAACAACACTTGGAAAATGACAAATAAATGAAATCAGTCTCATTAATGAGGTTTTCTTAAACTATTTTGTGAATATCATATAATTGACATATTTTTTATGATTAAGTATTACAATTGGTTCTAACATTAATTTAAAATTTTTTTTAAATATATGAAATAATTTTGTATATATTATTGTACGACTGAATAACAGTTCAAAATTTGTCATGGTATTAAACTGATTGTATATTAGTGTAGGTGAGGCTTTATAGCTGTGGTAAAGGTTTTTACCTAGGAGAATAATAACCCCTACCATATAAAACCCCGGTTTTAAATGTGTTTAAAGGAGCACATAATCTTTGGATGGTAATCTTCCAAAGATTATGAGCTAGTGGCAGTATTGCAATGACCAAAGTCCTGATCAGCAAAACAGGTTTTGCTTGAAATTATTAAATTAATTTGCATAACTTTAAAAATATTATAGAGGATTTGTTAAATTTAACCAAAATTAACTTTAAAATTATGCTAAAATAAATATGATTTTATATTTATTATACAAGTATGCCTGAATTTTCATGTTTTTTAAGATAATTTTTTTTTTATTTAAATTAATTTTATTTAGGTGCCCCACGAAGTCCTAACGATCTTATCACAGAGCACCATGGATGAGCATTTAATAATAAGTTCATGCCTCCTTCCAAACCAATGTCACAAAACTTGCTCAGAGGTGGTTTGAACTACGGATCCTTTGTTATTGATGCCAGTGCGCTACCACTGCGCCACTGCTGCTCAGATATTATTCAATACATTGAAAAAGATATTACATATTACAAACATTATATATACCTATACTATATATATATATATATATATATATATATATATATATATATATATATATATATATATATATATATATATATATATATATATATATATATATATATATATATATATATATCAGGGGCTACTCTAGACCATTTTTGACAGGGTCAACTGTATTTGGGCGCTGCCCAAATTAAAAGTTGAGGACCTTTTTTTTTTATGTTTTTTTATGTTTTTACGGCAAATATTGTTTTTTTTGCGAGAATAACTGCAATTTTCTGCAGAAAATTGCTGTTATTATCAGAAGAATTATTTAACAACAATAGACTAATATCCAAACATTGTCAAGACAACAAACATTTTAAAGATAACCATAAATCCCAAGATGGTTTGAATTATAAGTAAACAATTAATAAAAAAAGATTAAGTGATATTAAAAATAAACCACATAAACCAAAATTAAAAAATAAATCTGTTAATTTTCTAGTATTTCTTGAAGTATATCATTACTACCCAGCATAACCAATTTAATTTATATGTAAATAATATAACAAAAATATTTTATATTTAGTTCAACTTTTATTTTTCTATATTTTATTTTTCAAAACAACTTAAACAAAAAAATTTATTTGTTCTTAACTCCAATAGATTTATAAAAAAAATCAATTCATTTTGAATAAAGTATTTTTATTTTTAATAATTGCTAAAAGCAAACTCTTTAAAAACTATTTTACTTAAAGAAACTTAAAAAACCATACATTAATTTTTTTATTCAACCCAGTTGAAAAAAATTAGAAACAAAAAACAAACTTTTGAGTGTAACTTTAAACTCATCTTAAAAATAAATAACAATAACAATACAATATCATTAATAATTTTTAAAAAAATTGGTTACTTAAATTATTACACTTATAGCTATCAACAAAACATTTATTAAAAAGTGTTTTTATTTTTTATTAACTTTACTTTGAAGAACACTTTTTGAATAGACAATTTTAACAAAATAAACAAGCAATTTTAATTTAAAAGCTTTAAATAAAATTTTAAACAAAAGTCCACATAATTGGATAGAAAATGTATTTTGAAATTCTGCAACTGCTTATACTAAAAACATTTTTATATGATTAGGTGTGAAGTTTTTATGTTAGTTTTAAAACAATTTTGAAATATCTTTATTTAAAGATTTTAAGGATTTATATTTTTTAAAATTTTTTAAAATTCATTTAACATAAACTACTATTTAAATTATTTAAAATAGAATACTTTTATTATGTTTTTAACTTTATTATATGTTTTTTGTAAATTAAAAAAAATAGATACTAACCTTAGTTAAATTTATAAAAATCTATTAAAAAATTATAAGATTCTAGACAATTGGCTTAACTTAAAAGTTATAAATCTTTTTCTTTTTTATATGGCATTTATAAATAAAATTCTTATAACTTTGACCGTGTTTAAAATTCACTAAATACATCAAAAACACCTACTTAACAGCTTCAAAAATATCTTACAAAAAAAAAAAAAAAAGAAACTTTGATAGATGTCTAGTACTTCTAACTTATAACTTTTTATAATCAATCATATATTCTGATTTGTTCTTGATTAGATAAAGATTTTTATTCACAAACCAAAATTTGCACATTGTTTTCTAATTTTTTTTTTTTTTTAAATTAATATAAAAAAACAAAAAAAAAACATAGCATTGTATTGCGTTGGAAAAACCAAAATTACACATAATACTTTTCATTTTTTCACCTGGTGTAATATCATAAGCATAACATGGCCATTTTAAAGGATTTTTGAATGTTTTAAATTCATGACACCGACGTTTACAACCTTAAATGCCGTTCGAGAACCCGTATCTTTTTTCATCCTAAATTTCGTTTCATGGTTCTTGAAGTTAAAGTTAAAACACGAGTTAACCTTTTAAATAAAAAATGTCTTAAGGGGGCACAACCCCATTATAAAGTGCAATTGTTTTAAAAAAATATTTTTTCGAAAATATACTCAATTTAACTTAAATTTATCAAAGAAACTGTTGGTGGTATTATTTTTCTTTCAAATAGATACTAAAATTGGTCAAAATTTCATTTATTCAGATTACTGTTATTTAACTCCCCTAGCAACGCACATAGCAACCGTTTTTGAGTACTTTTTTTCACCTTTTTTAGCACTATTTTAAAGTTGACCTTAGATTTTTGTTTTTGCAAATAGTTTCTTATTAGAAGTTAAATGGTTCAAAGGCTGAGTTTATTATTGACTGTTTATAAAAAACATTACAAGGAACGGAATAGTTAAGATGACATTGTTAGCTGAGATTTTTAACATTCATTTGTGTCGAGTGGGTGTACATGTGCACATTTAATAAAGCTAAATCAAAATTAAAAGTTAGGATTTGTTTTTGAACTTAAGTTTTAGTATGCAATTTGTGATTTAAATGGCTCTGAACTTTAAAGAAAGATTAGAAACAAAAGGTTTAGACATTTGTAGTTGAATGGTATGCGTATGACAGGGTATGTAGTATGCGTACAACAGAGATGGGTTATCAATTTATGAAACTGTTTTTTTATGAATAACGTTGCATCTAATGTTTAATCATAGTCTATAGTGCAATATTTGATAGATAAAATGGTTTAAGACAAATATAATCATTATTATAAATAAAATTTCTTTTAACGTTTTTTTATGAGATATCAATATTGTACTAACTTTGCTTTATTGTGACAAGGATATTTCAGAAACGGATTGACCAACGGATTTGGACAGTTTGTTGATTATACATCAAGTTGTGCAATGAACCTCAAAATTCTATGAATGTATAAGTTAAAAATAAAATATAGCAATTTTTCGGTCATTATGGTGGGTTAAAAATAGCGTTTTTTTTACATCCTTTAAAGAAATAAACCACGACCCTAAGGAAAAAGTAAGTTATAAGTTTTTGAGGTTCATTGCATACCTCTAACATTAAGCTAGTTATGTGCAAAATTTTATTCTATGTAATCTTCTGAATTTTGAAATATTTTTGCCACAAAAATGGACAGTTTTTTTTTTTTGTTTTTTTTGTTTTGCCAAATGAAGTTATAAAAATTCGTAAAATAACAAAAACAATATGAAGTTTAACAAAACACAGTAATAAAAAGCAATAAAATACAAACATAAAATCCATTAAATACATGAGTTTGCAAAGAACTCATGGAAATATTCGTAAATAGTAAAATATAATACAATAAAGTCTAATATATCAGCAATAATGATAAAAACTCAAAAATAGATAAAGATCTTTTCAATTGAAAAGATATCTTCTTTAATTTTGG